CAAGGTGACTTAGACCAAGAGGCCAGAGGCTAAAGGCCTAAAATCAGGTGCCTGCCTCCCAAGGACTCCTAGGGGCCTGGCCCTGCCTCTTTCCTGGCTTCTGATAGGAGCCTGCACCCTCGGCGGTCTCTGGCTTTCAACTGCATCCCCCCAGCTCTGCCCCTGTGGCTCCGGCCTCCTCCCCACATGTCTCTCTCCACGCGTGCTCTCCTCTGCTCGCTAGCCCCTTGTGGTCCTGCACCAGGGCCACGCTGCTCCAGTCCGACCTGGTCGTAACTCATACCACCTGCAACAACTCTACTTCCAAACAAGCTCACGGGCTGCTGTACGAGGGGCTAACACCCCGAGGTATTGGGGTACACAAGTCAACCCGCAGCAGCTATTATGTGCAGCACGAGGACCCAGCCACGCACTTGTTCCCGGTGCCCTCGGTCGGCGGCTGTCAGCCCGCTCTGTGAAGGTCAGGGTCGCCTGCAGTTGTCTAAACAACCTCATGGCCGGTCCCACAGCCCAGAGGTTCCAATGTGGTCAATCCAGGCTGGGGACAACCCATCTTTAAAGGCAAATCAAAAAGCCAGGCCACCGAAGTGACTACAAAGCTCACCCAGAAGTGAGAATCACTAGAGGTGAATCTTAGTAACAATGAATGGGGAAATGGAGGCAAAATAAGTGAACCCACAGGCCGGTGTATTCATTCGGTGCGATGAGCAGTCCAGTCCACATGGGTCTCACGCAAAGTCCACCTCTGCCCGTGTCGCCCGTCTCTGTCGGCCGGTGAGCAGCAGGTGTGGCTACATGTGGGTGCAGCCATGGGTCTCGCTTCTGTAGGTCTATCAAGAAAGCATGAGCTACGTCTCTCCAAAGGGACCCACCCACTGTGAGGTTGCATTCAATCAGCTGACACTCTCAGCACTGTCTGCAGGTCCCTGGTCCTGGGTACTCAGCCCAAAACCCTTCTAGAATAAATGAATGAAGAATGGGCATCAGAATAAATACGACCAAACCAGAATGGTTCCCGTTAGAATTTTCTTTCTGCTTTTCCCCATGAGCATGTTGCAAAGCAGAGATCCTTCTGCTCCAATTTCATTCCTTTTGCATCTCCCCCGCCCCTTTTTTTTGCATGTAGACCAGAAAAAGAAGCAGTTACTAATTTGGGGACTGTCACTGACTTGGGAACAACTTTAATCCCATTAAATATCTGCTCACAGTCTTCTCGCAGTATTAAGTGTTGTCACCAGAGTAACACAGAAAGGGATTTCAAGACCTGTGGTCCAACCCGGAGGCTTTGGAGACAAAAACCCATCTGCTCTGGTCCAGGGTCCCATGATGTCACCCCCTTACTTCAGTGCCCCCCAAACATCAGTCTATGTGGCAGCAAGATGTCCTGGCCTCGACGGACAACTCTGGTTTTAAATAGACCATTACGATGTCACATAAATTAGGGTAACAATTTCCCTAATGCAGTTCTGTATACCCTTAAACTATATTATTAACAACATCCACTTTCATCCTCAAAACGGTCTTGGTTGAGTCAATACAACATGTGGTCTCAGATGTTCTTAACACATGCTCCAAGATTTGGTTCAGAAACACAGACAACCCCCCACCCCTGCCCATCTGTCCTTATTTCCACTCTTACCTAACCCGTGAGCTTTGATGAGCCCATGCAAGCCCCACGACGGGCTCCTCCCTGTACAGAGCAGGTCCCTGCCTCCAGTCTGCTCCTGCTCCTCTCTCTTTCTGAAATGTTCCCTTCCCCAGAGCCACTGACGTAAATCTTACCTATCTTTCAACATTGAACTCAAGCCCCATTTCCAGGAGGCTGCCTCTGTCTACCTCAACCCACACGGATTTCTCCCTTCTCTTGGTTTCCGCCCATGACATCTGCTCTGCTACAATAGGGTGGGGAGTGAAGGACATGTCTTGGGTGCTGGCTCCTCCGCTCCCCCCAGCCCTGCGCCCACTCAGGATGCTGCAGGCAGAACCTGGCTGTGGTCCTTTGTTTTGTTTAGATCGATTAGCTTTCCTCAAAGGCACTGATTAAAACAAGTGAGTCTATAATGCACAATCTATTTACACATGTGTTTTTCCTTACAGAACTGTTGTTTGGCTCTAAGAAAGCTACAAATAGACATGTCAGCTGGAGATTCCCTTGCTAGCTTTCCCCGGTGCCATGCACCCCTGCACAGCACCTGGCAGGTGGCCACCCGTGTACCCAGAACTCCACCTGTGAGCGCCTCTCTCCAGGCCCCTTGCTCCCTTCCTGGGCTGCTGGGCTGCTCTGCTTGTTCAAGTTCTTCCCTAAAAAATAGCATTTCTCAAAATGAAGTTTGTGGGCCATCTGCGCCTGAGTTATGTGAGGTGTCTGCTAAAGTCACGGATACAAGCCCAACTATGGGCTCTCTGGATCAGCATTGGACCAGGAAGGGAAACAGGAGCAATGTTAGCAGGATCCGGTGGGTCCTAGCATGCAAGAGCCGCCGTCGGCACCAGTGGGCTCCACCTGTGACTTGGCTCTGCTCTCCTTAGCAGAGAGAGGACACTTCATCTCCAAGGCAGCTCTTCCTTGGAAGATGCCCATGCTCTCCCCGCCTCCCCTATGCCCTTCAGCAACGCAGGTTATTGACTCTTCCTTCTGCCACAAAGCCCCCACCTCAAACCCCAACCTGGGCACACTCCTACCTACCCACATCCTTCCCAAAATGCACTCCTGAAAGAGGGGGAGAGAGGTAGGTCTGTCCTGCTTTTCCTACAGCCTGCCCAATTTGTAATGTAAATCGATTTGTACTCTTGCCAGGTGACAATGACAGAACTCACCACCACCAAAAGTAACTAGCGACATTATCATTTTGCCAATCTTTGCTAATTTAATAGGCCTGTGACATCAACTGCTTGGTTTTAATCCGGGTGCCCTTGTTTATCACTCGTGGGAGTACGTGGCCATTGGCAGCTCTTTTGTGAATTGTCTGCTCCTGACCTTTCTGGGTTTGGTTTTTCCTTTGAATTCATTATGTCAATTCCCAGGGCATTCTAAGTCCTTTCAAGGCATGACCTCACGAAGCCTCAAAATCATGTTCCCCCCACTTTATTGGTGATGAATGTGAGCCTGCAGGAGCTTAAAATATGGAAACACAGTCATGTCTTTAACTTCCACGCTGCCTTAGCCTTCATCAAATGAACATTGTTTGGAGGACAGATCTTCTTTCAATCAAATATTTGGGGTGAAATTTAGAGGAAGGTTAAGAACACTTAGTAATTTTCACACGCAGTTCTGTTGCCTCTTACTTCTACTTAACGTTTCCTTTATTCTTTTGCTGTTTTGTCTGTCCTAGAGGTAACAATAAGCAGGTTACAATCAGTTTATGAAGAGGATAGCAAAGCTATTTACCGTCATAAGGTTCAAGAAGGATGTATGTATCTGTTCCTACATTAGCCAAGACAGATAGTATATTTTTGACCCAAAAAGAGCACCAGAAAAGGATCAAAGGAAGTCATTTAGAAATAAAGCAGAATGTAACAAACTAGAATCCCACATTTGGGAACCGCGTTAGTAGAAATAGTTCTAAAGTATAAGTGCCAGTAAGATTAGCTTTCACTTTTTTCCCTTTTAATATTATCTGATATCCCAAAACCAGTATTTATGCAATTAACTCAGTTTCTGGTGTTAATTCATTATTGATGGCAATTCAGTCCAAATAGCTGAACTTCTTTGGTTTGGGTTAATTTCATCAAATGGCATGCGATTAAACTTTAATTAAAAATACATATGCAAAACCTTGAGAGCCTGATATTTAAAGCAATTAAATTTACAAGATTAAAAGAGATGCAAACAATTAAATACAGAGCTGCGTTGGGAGCACAAATCAGTGTCCTTGAATCCCACTTGCCTTTTCTACCCAGAAGGCTGCCCAGACCCCAGGCCAGGAGTTCTTAACTTTGAAGGAGGCTGTTGAGGGAGGTCTTTCGCCGACATCTATTTACAACTTTGCTCAAATAAGTGCTGGTCTTGCAAGACCCTCGCCAAACTTTCCAAACAAAACCTACAAACCAGGCATCAGAAGAAACCGAAACTATAAAGTTGTGGTCATCTGACTTTGAGTCTCAAGCCGCCGGACAAAGTCCTTGGGGGCTCATTCTACAAGCTTTGATGGAAACTCAGTTTCTTCCCTATCAACCGGTTATCATAGAAACATAGTCACGAGCAATGACAAGGCCCTACCTTAGCCTCAAGTCTTTCTTGCACAAAATACATGTAACAAAAAAGAAAAACAATATTATGTAAATTAAAGTCCACATTTCCAGATAAGAAAGAACAGAGTTTCTTTCTTTATTTACTATTCTGTTTCCCCTTACTCTCTTTAATAATTTTATACCACACAAACACTGTAAGGTCACTTTCTCAATAGTGACGTTTCAGCTCTCAATCTACTGCCTGGCAAACACGCTCTTTCTCACAGAACATAAAGAGAATTTTGACATTTGAATAGATTGTTCCAAACAGAGATGGCAAAGCAAATTTTAAAAAGCAAAGGAGACTCCTGTGGACTTGACTGTTGGTTGTTTATATAGTTCCTACGATTTTGTCACCCAGAACTTAGTCTGAACTGCTTGCCAGCTCACACCACCAGGGGTTTCTACCCATCCCCACCTCCCTGGCCTACCATGCACCCCATCAAGCACACCCCCTCCCCACACAAGCACCTCCTCTAGATGCTGACCCTCCCTCCCCACAAACCCCCAACAAACAGAAAGAGCCCTGGCTGTGGTCACAAATCAGCACATCACACCCACGCGGGCTGTATGTGCAAATATAAAACCATTAAAATTGACCCCTGACAGCCGTGCTAACTTAATAAACTCTCTGCAGCAGCAGCTCACAAGGGACAAGCTCTTTCAAGCCTCTCCCTGAGAGTTCAGGCCAGGTGCTGCTGCCACCAGAGGCCTGAGATGGGATGGGGTGGCTGGGGGGGAGACCCCAGGGGGAGGGGAGGCACACTCACAGCAAATCGCACTTGGCAGTTTTCCTCGCCCAGGTAGCACAGGTCCCCCGAGACGTTGGTCTCCAGCCACAGGTGCTCTCCATTCACGGCGTTCTCCTGCAAGGGAAGGAGCCACCTGACTTCAGGTTCAGTGTTTTGGTTTTTGTTTTATTTTCAGGCATGAAAGGGGAAGATCTCAAATTCAGATTTTTGGACACTAGAAATTTAGTGGGCACAAGGAGTCGAAATGCTTGTCCTTTTTCCCCTGGAAATATTACTATTGAAATTCTAGAAATAGAAAAAGGTGTTTGGAAAAACCCTAAAAATAGACATTAAGTCTATAGATACTTTATCTTACAGATATTAATCTTTGAAGCATATATTAAACAAATGGGGGGGGGTTCAAATTGTTCCCTGTAAGGTCTTATTTATCTAGACCCAACACAACAACTGAGGGCAATAAGCTCAAGCTGTTCGATGTAAGGTCTCATTAATCTTGGCCAATACCACAAGATTCCATGACAACTGAGATCAAATTCCATTAAAACTTACCTTTACTGAGCAAATTAGCTAAGAACCAGGAGAATTATCTTAAAGCACTTTAAAATTGTCTGAAAACACATATCGGTAATTAGTTTTACACTTTTAAGAGAGAGACTTCTAAAAACTTAGTTTAAGTCAAAGCATCATACATAATACATTTCTACTAATTCAAATATTTTACCAATTCAGTAAGGCCTTCACCCATTTACTTCTACATTTTCCAAGTTGAATGGTTTCCCTGCTTCTAAGAATAGTCACATATTCAGGCCTCCCTGGTGGCGCAGGGGTTAAAGTCTCAGCACTATCAAGCTATTGTCAGCCACTGAGGCATATGAGTTCCATCCCCGGCCAGGGAGCTGACCCACATGGCACAGCAGACCTCTCCTGTCTCAACTGCTGCTCCCCTCTGCAGTGGATTTCAGTGGATCCACCTGTTCTGCTCCCCACACTGTCTCTGGTGAATCCTCTCACCCCTTGCACCTCTGGCCTACACCCCAGTTCTTGTATGCATAAATAAATAAAAGTTAAATCTTTAAAAAAAAATTTTGAAGAAGGAATAGTCACATACTCCTAACAGCAAGCACAGCTACCTTGATGAGTGATGTGGAGAGTAAGGAGTAAGAGTGACATGTCCAGAAATGCACGCTTCCTGGGGAGAGGGAGGATGTTACACTAATTTTTGTTGTTTTTTTTTTTTTTACAGCATGACGAGTAGAGTTCCACATTCCTTCTCATGACACACTACCTTAGAGGAATGAGGCATTAATATATTTATTCCACAGTTTGCTCATTTGCTTAAAATGCTATCAAGGAAAGGACCGCAATGGTTTAACCAGTATAGAAGAGACTATCTATAGGTCTCAGGGGGAATTGCTCTTATTTTTATCTTGTTCATCATAGCACATGGGTATGAATTACTTCTCCATGGGGGGGATGCTGGAGACCAAATTGTGCCCCCCTCCCCCCAATTTATATGCTGAAGCCCTTCAGTCCCCACTGAGATGGTATTAGTAGATGGGGCCTTTGGGTGTCTCTTAGGACACACAGGTGGAGCCCTTTGGCTGGGCTCCTTAGTGTCCCTGTGAGAAGAGACATGAGAGGGGCCTCCCTTGCTCCACGCACACACCCAGGAAAGGGCGTGTGACGACGCAGTAAGGAGGTGGACAGAGACCGGCCAAGGGGCAGCCTTGGAAGGGACCAGCATCTTGATCTTGGACATCCCAGCCTCTAGAATTGTGAGAATCAGTCTCCTGTTGTTGAAGCAGTCGGGCTATCATGTTTTGTGAGAGCAGCCCAGGCAGCCTCACGGGAGGTGGGCTCAATAAGGGTTTTACAGGGGAACCAAGCAATTTAGAAGCCCATCTTCTGCATAAGCCACCTTCATTATGACCTGCTCAACAATGTCTACATAACCCTGTGGATCCCAAGGCTTAGCATAGAGAAGCAGAAATAAACACCAAAAAGCAGTTGGGGGGAAATACAGGAGCATCCTTTTCCTAAAAAAAAAAAAAACAAAAAAAAAAAACATTTTTTTCAGATTCAACTATAACACAATTTCCTTTCAGGGCGTGTAAATGCAAAAAAAATTCAGATAAGAATTACTAAAGGTTGTAACTCCTTCATTCAAGAAAGGTGACACAAACATTTTGAACAATGAACGGGAGGCACAAAGGGATAGAAGAAATTCACAACCCCTACCTGTCGATGTTGAGAGCTCAGGAAAGATTCTCAGAGAGACCCATGAGTTTTCAGAGAACAGAAGTGATGGATAAGAATATTATCAAATAAATAAACAAATATTTCTTTGCTCAGTATCCTGAAGATATCGACCCCCATAACCTAAAATATTCCATTCCTGGGAACTGATTGTCCAACTTTAGCTTATAAACATTTTACAGAATAAAATCCTTTTTCATCCTATCAGCCTGTAATTCATTCAGTAAACATTTGTTCCGCATCACTGGTGCCAGGTACTAGGTTAGCATGGAGTAAAAGTGACTAAAGATAGAAACTAAATGCACAATTATAGCAACAAATACTAAGGAAATCTAAGCACAGCAAAAAATTCTGCCAACCGTTTTTACAAAGTAAAGTGTAAAATGTTGAGTCCTGGTAGGTTAAGGGAGGTAGGGAGAGGAGGCAAGACCAGGGAGGCAAAGATGTGCAAGCTCATCACTAATGCCCTGGGCTGGGGGGGGTTCACCTGGGCAGAGGCAATTTGCCCCCGCCTCCTGCCTCTCCCACGATGGACACCACCAGCAAGCACTCGGAGATTGCTTCTAAACCTTCCCTCGGATTCAGACCCGACAGAATCGCCAGGTTTAGCTAACTAACTCCTGAATGGGGATCTGATTGGAAAGACCAACCTTTGAAAGAAGAAGGAAAGCAAGACACAGGGTTCCTGCCCCCAGGGCTCTAACACACTGGTTCTCAAATGAAGATGACCTGGAGAGTTTTTAGCAATAGCTGGGTATCCCCAGAGTGTCTGTTCTAACTTATCTACAGTGAAACCTGAACATTAAGGCACCTCCAAAGTTCTCCAGGGGACTTGAATGTGCTGCAGATTCTGAGACTCAATAATCCAGTAGTTCCTACCCTCCTCTTCAAGTTTAGGGCCAGCAGATTTTACAACTTGTCTATGACTGAAATCTACTAGACTTGATACTTCTTTGTCCTTGTACAATCATCCAAGGAGAAGAAGATGAGAAAGAAAAATGTGGTATAATGTAGCCCCGGAGGGAGATTTTGAGGAGAGACAGGGAACAAGAGATGCAAGATGAGTAGGCAACGAGTTAATAACAAGAGCCTGAGAATAATGGAAAAAGATACCAACTTGCCCCAGCCTTTAAACAAGCAATAGGATAAATTTAAATGTTCATACATTGACGTAGTAATCTCAGTTCTAGAATGTGATCTAAGGAAATAATCCAAATGGAAGAAAAAAATTATATCCAAGAAGGTGGTTTCTACCATTTAATAATCAAAAACCAGAAACATCACAAATGCACCGTGGAGAAGAATGTCGACAAAAGGTAGGATAAAACATAAAGTGAGGTGTTATAAAGGTGCACAAATATGGAGAATGACCATGTGGGAAACTGTATGATATAAAGTGAAAAGAGAAAAAGCAAAATTCAAAATTAACTGTGTCTTATGACCACAGCTGTTCATAGAAATAAGGACTGAAAAGAATTGCAATATATCAGTAGTCTGAATTCTTGACCCAAATATCCCCTTCTGCGAGTTGCTGTCCTTTACTAGAGAAGTTTAAGAGTTTTCTTTCCCTTCTGCCTTTTCTTCCTTCTTATTCCATCACATCATAAAGCCAGAGCTACCAGGTTTCTTCCTTCTTCATTGCACTATAGCTGCCTTTGTCAGGATGGGTGACTTCAGGTGGCTAAATCCAACAATGAGTCCTCAGTCTTCCTGTTATTCAACAGTTTTCGGACAGATAATCCATTCCCTACTTCTGGAGACACTTTCTTCCCCCAAACACAATACTTTTGTGTTTTCTTGCACTTCAAAGGCCACTCTGTCCCAGCCTCCTTTGTTCTGTCTTCCCTATTTTCCCAAACCCTGAATATATGAGTCTACCTGCCTTTATGTTTCAGTCCTTAAAAAGTCACAAAAAGATGAAAAGTCCTTAAAAAATAAAGGCAGATAAGAAAAAGCACAGTTAAGGAAGAAAAAGATGGGACACACTTTTACTAGACTACATTTCTCTCACTTCATCCTTTCATATACATCTGATGTCTAATAAAGTATACAAGAAAGTATTTTACCCAGATTGCTCTGGCTTTCGCCCTCAGCTCCTGGAAAGTAATCTCTCTAAATGCTTGGAATGTCCTGTCTGATAAAAGTATCCGTTTGCCTGAGGATGTTGGGCCATATCATGTAATCTAAGATAAAAATGATTATGGTGGAACTTAGAGCCCGAAGAGAGCTATCAGCTCAACCTCCAGAGGGGCTGGAGGCCACAGTTAATCACGTGGCCAGTAAACCTGTCTATATGACAAAGTCCCCATTAAAACTTTGGACACCAGGGTTCTTATCAGCCTCCCTGGCCCTATTTCATCTGTGTTGTCACATACAGAAGCTGGGAGCAGTCAGCAAGGGGAGAGGAACAACCGGAAGTTCCTCATGTATAACTCTCCTGGACTCTGCCCCAGGCACCTCTCTCCTTGGCTAAAAGATTCTGGGTCCTTTTGTTAGGGGGAAAGGATGTCCTGAGCTAATCCCATACAGGCTTTGTGGACCCCACCCCCACTCCAGACCAAAGTCATCAAGACATTGGGAAAGACAAATCCCGTCACCACCAAAGGGAAGGTGGCTGGGACCTGAGGGTGGAGTTAAGCAGCCAGGTTGGGTATAAAAACCAAACACGTGGGCCTTGGGTTCTCGCTCTGTCGCTCGCCTCCTGGCTTCACGGCTCCTGGCTTGCGGCCAGCTCTCAGAGTGCCATTTGGGATTCCAGATCGGCGGATCGGGTAGGACGCATTTAAAACTTTGTCTCCCATTTTTCTCCCTGAGTTGTACATTTCCTCATTTCCCCTTCCCTTGTAAATAAACCTTTT